TCATTCCTCCCTCTTGTCCTGACCCTTCACCTGCAGTTTTCCCCTCTTCTCTTTCCATCCCTTTCTCCTCCTTTACCCCTCTCACGTTTACCAGCCTCTCCACTCATCCATCTCTCTCCCTGTGTTTCTCTCTCTCCCGCTCTCCACTCTCTCTGCCCTTGCCTTTCAGCCGTAAGCTGCTGCTGGTAATTATCAATCTGCAGTCCACAAAACACACGAGAAGCAAATGCACACATTCTCGAGCACATGACATGCTTGACACATAAACATCAGCACTACTGCACACATTCACGAACCAGCACTCCCGGATACACACACGGCTACAAAGCCTCAAAGTTACACAGCTAGGCCCTGGGAGAAAAGAGGCAGCTATCACACGACTGCACAAACAGGAACACAGTCCCCAATCCTTTATGTAGAAGCTTGTTTGCAGTACACAAATCAACGTACACAAACTAACATACCCCGACGCACACAACTACAAGCAAATACAAATACAAACACACACGCAAAAACACATGCACACTAACACTGTGAATGAATGAATAAACAAAAAACGCACAGCCCCTCTATACAGGCACAAACACATGAGAGCGGCATGCGTCATCTTCAAAGGGAGGTTTGAAAGAACACACCGCCACTCCGCCCCAACCTCTCCCTCCTTCTCCCGCCCACCCCCGACTACCAATATATGTTCAAAGGCCATCCATTAACCTTTCACTCACACAGGCCTCTCTGTGATCTACTGCTCTCAGCCAAGGGCTTTGAAGAGCACAGCTACCCCCAGCACTGAGGAGGGAGCGAGGAAAGTAGCAAATGAGAGAAAGACAGACAGAGGCAAAAGAGAGTGAAAGTAAAGGGAGGGAATGACAACAACAAGAGATGTGAGCTGTTAACAGATAGTAGGCAGAGGGTAAGGAAAGCAGAGGGGTAATACTCAAGGAGGAAGGTGGGATAGAGAGTGGGGAAAGGCGAAAGCCAATGAGGAAAGAGGTGAAAGAGAAGACATGGTGGGGAGGGTGGAAAAAGGAGGAGGGGAGGAAAATGGAAGTGGTGGAGGGAAAAGGAAAATGGTCCAAGAGGGAGAAGGTAAGTCAGTAAAGGAGGGGGCTGGGGGAAGGACATCACGACGCAGAGAGAGGGAGTAATAGCTGAGGTGGGGAGAGAAAGCATTGGATGAAAATAAGAGGCAAGTGTTAGTAGAGAGAGAAGTGAGAAGCACCAACTATTGCTAATAAGATGGAGAGGCAACGAAAGCTTGAAAACATACATGAGAGGCAAAGAGAGGGAAAAAGGCTTTGCAGCAGTTCTTTATTGCAAAATCCAGATGATGTGCAGCAATATTCACAAGCTTCTAGATTAGCAATTAGTGTCAGTGAAGCCTGTGGATTTCAGCTTTATGGCAGAGAAAAACCATGGTAAAACACATTCAAAGGTCATTTTGAGACAAAATGAGAGCGTTTACTTGTCTCCATAAACACATACATAACCAGCCGGTTCTGATAGCCTATTAGAAACTTACAAACGCAAGTTGTCTGCATAGTTCTGATCTTAAACCATTAAAGTCTGGAGTAATTCATCTGTCTTTGACTTTATGTCAAAGGAAATTTTTAACAATACATGGTTGTACTGTTGTATTTAGTGAAAAAATATTCCCCAGGATACTTCCCATATGACGTATCTACAGATGATTAGTAACAGACAAAAGAATTCAGCACAATTTCTGTGCTGCTATGTTCACCTAAGTGACTTGGTTGTTATAGTGACAGCTGATTCTGATCAGCTAATACTATGCACGACTCCGGTGCTCTGCCTGAAGTATGCTCGAAAAGTGTAGAGCCAAGAGTTTACAAAACACTCATTGAAGCAATACAATATGCTGTTCAGCAAATTATACAAGAAGCATACATAGCAAGGTTACTACCACTTTATTGCCTTCTCTTGAAATATTATTGCTACAAGCCTGTCAGAGGATCAATTCTTATGAATTAGTGAGTAGGTCGCAGTTTTGAAATTATCATTTTAATATTATAGTATTGCGGAACTGAATGTCTACTCTCTCTGTGCAAAAATGCAATATTGGATATGGTTTCAGGTCAAATATTTTTTAAGATCTTTACTCAGAATTTTAAATCTAGGGTTGAGCAACACTTAGACTTAGTAACTGTCAGCTTAGTAATAAAAAAAGCATCTGGCTTGCAAAGGCACAGTGAATTCTTCATGTGGACCTCCATGAAAAATAACTACCCACCCCTGCATTATAGAAAGCAAAATACTGCATTGAGATCAGTCCCCATTCAAACATTCTGTCACCATCCAAGGACAGTCGAGAGACTAAGGCACTTTGTTGAGGAGATGGGTAAAAACAGCTAGTCCCCCATCCTTAAATTATGACTACCGTTCAGGGGAAAAGCATAGAAGAAAAAAGATAGGGAGAGGAGGGGAAGACAGATAAAAATGTCTGCGTGTGCACTAAAGGACCAGGGGCCTTTCCACACGACTGATCTGAGAGGAAAAGCTTAAATACAGGGGAGATGAAAACAGATTCCACCAGTCAGCTGGCGCTGGTGTCCTGATATGAGTGGCACACACATACTCACACAAATGCTTACACTCACACACACACCCATCTGGACACACTCAAGCATAAAAAACCCGTACAGAATCTTGCACGTACACATCACTATGCACTCACATACTGTACACACACATATACAGTATGTACAGTACATACTTGCAAATTCATACAGACTGAAAGGACCTATAAGTAGCCTTATAATGGTCTGGCTGTCACCATTGGTGCACATAAATACAAAAACACATACACACATACACACATGCACACATGCACACACCGATGCTTGTGCTGTGCTAAATGAAAGCTCTGTGTCAGGGCTTCATCAAGTATGGCGCAGCTGCCTGCGAGGCCTGCCACATTAAGCAAGCCTAATGGGCTTTCAGAGCAACAACACTGCGTATGAAGGGTTGTACATTCTCGAGCATTCTGTGGAATCAGCGGGACATTTGTCAGAGTACGCATGTCTGTCAGGAAGCCTGCCGCGATGGGCTGGTGGAGGGGTTTTGTATACCGCATACACCTAGGTTAGTATGACTTTGCATTCACAGATGAAAATGATGTTATTGTTTCACACAGCCACTGCATTGCAAAGAGAATTGGAGAATTGCACAGTGATTTAACAAGATACATAATCGCAGTGTGAAATGAGCAGGTGAGTGAGAGTTGTGGGAAAGAGCAGGGAAGAAATATGTGTACAATGCTCATGCTGGCTAGGATCATTTGTGTTAAAGACCTGGTTCCAGAGGAGAATAAATGTGTGAGTGTTAGGGGTAAATATTAGACTGTGCAGTCAGGAGTAGAGTGAGGTTAAAGCATGTCAAATTAGTCAGGACATCGAGAAAGAGCAGGGGAAGACATTAGACTGTGAAGCCATGTGTGATGATCCTGCAGGTTTCCAAATGAGCTCCGATTAGCCTGAGAGTGATTTCAGCGGCTCTCGTCACACCAAAACCCTGCCCTCTTCCTTTAAAGTCTATCTCCCTTGTTCTCTTTTATTTTCTCTCTTGCTCCTCTAGTCACTACAATAGAGAGAATACATTTCAGCCAAAAATGGGCTGCCAAAATCATGAGCACCAAAACAGTGTGGGTGTGCATGAGCATGTGTCTATTTGCATGCCTGTGTCTCTGATTCTATTAGAAAAAAGATTTTCTTAATTTCATCAAACTAAATGTTGCGCCTGTGCTTTGGGGCTGAATACAGATAACAGTCAATTGATTATTAATGCATTATTAATACTCCCCAAGTGCCAGGTCACACAGATAGTTATGAGACTTATTTTCACACAAATACACACACCCACACACACACAAACACAAGGCAACATAGCGCCAGAGGCCAAATGTGTCCGATGGAACAGAACGTACGAAAACAAATCCAATGTTACAAAAGCAGCCAAATTAAGATGGAAAAAAACAGCACCTACTCAAATTAGAACCGCACCTGGCCAATCAGAGCTTACACAGAGGGGTTGCTAAAACCTATGCTGACACAGGCGTATACCAACACATTTTAATTTTACCCTCCCTCTACCTTTTGGACTCCTCCTGCTTCATCACTAGCCCCTCCCAGTGGTGACTTTGTCTCTCCCTGATGCTCCTCCTCCTCCTCCTCGTCCTAGCTGTCCATCACCCAGCGGCTCGTTGGCACAGAGCTGACTGAGAGCATACAGCAGATGGTGTGCTGCTGCCTGTGTGGCAGGCCACTAGCAGGACACCCAACAGCCCCTCCTTTCCCTCATCGGCCCTCTGCCTCCCCTGCAATCCCTGCTCCTTTCCTCCAACACATCTTCTAACACACACAGACACACACACACACACACACACACACACCCTCCAGCATCACTTCAGCCCAACCAGGTCACCTGCTGCCAGGCTTACAACAGCAATAGCACACACACAAGCACACACAAACATAAAATGAAATATCTTATGGTACATGGCACATTCAAGGAGGTCACACATATGGCACCATTACATGCACGGATTCCTCCTTATATTCTTGCCACGCTCCAACTAACATCAAGATGACAAGAAATTTTATTGACATTCACACATACACTCTCCAGCTCGCTCGTACACACTCTCTCTCTGTCTCCTGCAGAGACAGTTTGGTTAATCAAGTGCAGGGTTTCTAGCCTGGTCAGCAAGTCAATACACTTACAACCTTCATCACGTAGCTAACATATAAATATTACATCCTCATTTGTAGTAACCTGGTCAGGCCAGTTACAAGGCACAGTGAGACCAACAGGCGCTGTGTGCATCATTGCAAGCAGGCTCAGTGGAGCACTACAAAATTATACAAATTGTTTATACTGTAAATATAAATAAATAGGGAACACATACAGTAGAAATACTGAATAAAGGTAGAAATGTAATGTAATGTGACAATATAAAATCACACAATGCTGACATTACGCACCTTGTGAGGATGGAGAGATGTTGCTGAAAGCCACAGCAAAGGTGAAGATGATCCAGACTGCTAGAGCCATGTTGGAGGCTGACCAGGGGGCAGGGCAAGGGGTGGGGCTGAAGTGTAGAGATGGTCAGCAGGCACAGGTGAGTGGGGCAGCACTTGCTCAGCTTACACCCTCCCTGAGGGTGATCCTGCATGCAAAGAAGGGTAGAAATAACAAAGAGTTAAGTACCTCATAAACATTTGTATGTAACTGTATGTCCATAAACAGGAATTATTCTGTCCCACTCAGTATGGCATTTGAATTAGACAGTGTTGACTAACTATTCTGCATTTATCACTGAAATATGTGATAATAACTCTGCACAAAACTGAGTGGCTCACAACTGGTATAGAATACTAATGTATCTAATGTAGCAGGCGAAGAGGAGAGGAGAGGAGAGGAGAGGAGAGGAGAGGCTCCCCCTATGGTGGTCAGGTAAAATGATCAGACAGAGAGATCTGTGGCCATTTTGTGCCGGATGGCATGCATGGCAACAGCTGTTGCCACTACCAGCTCATCACTCTACAGTGTTTGAACACTTGATTGAATCAGACATGCTACATATGTTTTGGGACTGTTAATGGAGCTATATTCAGCATGTGAAAAATACAAATACATGTCTTCTGTGTGTGTTTGTGTTTGCATACGGGCACACACACACAAAGTGAGACAGTGAAAAGTGGTGACTCAGTCAGCAATGCTGTAGGGTTCACACATCTCATTTGCCTAATGAAATAAATCACAATCTGGAACTTTAGCTCTGCTTTTTTGACAGTAGAAACTGTTGTGCTTCGCCAGGGGCTGAACGACAGAAAACAGTAGAGACGGTATTGTTAGTGCTAATACTTCTCCTGCTGAGCTTGCTGATGAAACAGACAGATTGGACTGCGTCTCTTTGTATCTGTGTGTGTGCGTGTTTGTGTGCTTCTTTTTTGGAGGGGAGGAGGGAGGTGTTGAGAGGATTTCCTTTCATCTCTCCCAACCCTCTACCCCCTTTATTAGATTGATCCTACCAACTTATACTATAGGAGGGTATAATATAATAAATAAAGCATGCACTCACAAACACACATATGTTCAGCTACTATACAGTGCTGAATTTTCAATTAATCCATACATTTCCTATGTGTGAGCCATAGTATTTTCAACTTACCTGTACATTACCACTTCATCCCAACTAACTATTTGCAAACTATTTGGAAATTATATTTTTTAAACCTCAATAATTATTTTCAAAGGCTTTCCAACAGTTTAAAATATATCATGTTTATTCATAGATAAAAGTAAATAAAGGGTACACAATACACCTAAGTGTTAATTGAACAGCCACAAAAAGCAAGCAAGTGTATCTTAAAGATGCTGGATTAAGCACATATAGTACAATAATTGTTGTGGAGAATGTCTTACTCTGAAAATATTTAAGCAAAACATTTTGAGGAAAATCTGTGCTCAAATGTTTATCCCTAACCCTAATCTTGATTCTAAACTTTAACCCAAAATATAATTCAGACACTTGGAATTATAAAACTGTCCCTGGAGTTTTCAATTTTGTAATCTTTTTATCCATGTATGTTTGCTCAACAACACACACAACAACTTATCATGGCCAAGCTATCATCTCCTGGCAGCTAAGATGGCAGCTCCTGAGTGACAGGGTGGCTTCACCCCCTCTCTTCATCATCACTGATTTGGCTTCCTCTCCACCTCCCCTGCCCCTCCTCTTCCTGACCTTCTCTGATATTTACCCTCCTCCCTAGTGGCAACGCCCGGCCCACAGCCACCGACCTGCCTGGGTGTCGCTGTGTGGATTAGTGTGTTGGATGTTGTAGAGTACAAGCAAGACAGAGTGAAAGAGAAGAGAGGGCAAAAAACAAAAATGGAGAGAGAACAAAAAAAGAACACAGAGTACAAAGCACATCCGCAGCAGCTGTTTTATTTTTTATTTTTTTTACAGCATATGCACAATACACAAACACATATACACACACACACTCACACAACCTCTGCACTAATGCAGCCTGTGCCTTAATTTGAGTTTGTTTGCGACCACCCTCTATGACCAGCAGCTGAGAGAAAAGGACACACTCAGAGGGAGGGCAGGACAGACAAAGAAAGAGTAGAAAAGCAGTAAACAAATAGCAATAGACATGTGATGTGGTACTGTAGAGGCCTTGGCTGCTCCACTCTCTCTCACGGCCTTTCCCCTCTCCCACCCTCTTCTCTCCACTTGATCTCGTTGTTTTATTATTGGTCAAAAAGTGATCCCCTCCTGTGCAGTGACAGGCCTTAGTATTTTCTCCAACTTTCGTTGTTTTAATAAGAAAAATCTGTCTTTCCTCTTGTTTTCTTTTGACTGTTCTTCAGTCTGTACTTTTCAACAAAAGCTCTCCTGTGGTCACAGAAGATGAGGAGGGCCAGTGAAAGAGAGCAGAGAGGGAGGGTGGGGGAGTGGGCAGGTTGGGGATTGAGGAAGGGAAGGTAAGAAAAGTGCAGGGTGGATAAATAGATTTTATTTTGTGACAAAAAGAAAGCTAGCATTACACAACAGTCCATGTCAATATGGTAGAAACGGAGAACAGAATAAATAGAGGGAAGAAGGATGGAGAGAAGGCCAAAATTAAGGAAAAGAAGAAACAAAGGAATGACAGAACAAAGGAATGAGGCAACAACAAAAGAAAGGAAGCATCATGCAGCTTGAGTAACTAATAAACAAGGAACAGAAGGAGCAAAGGAAGTAAGGAACAAACGAAGTAGGGGAAGGATGACTTTCTGTATAACGAGAATAAATAAGAGAGAGTGGGAGGGGGAGCTGCTGAAAATAGCTTAGTGAGAACAGCAAAGGGATAGTAAGAAAGCAGGAAATAATGGCAAAGGAGAAAGTATTTCTTCTGCCTGTGTCTATGAGTCAGTCTGCCTCTGGGTGGAGGAAGGTTAGGAGACTTTGGAGGGTGTGAGATGGGTGTCTTCGCCCTCTGTGCTTTCCCTACTTGGAGGATGTTGCGTGCCCGAGGCCAGAGGCTGACCTTTTGCACTGATCACATCCACCATTATTATCATCACTGTTTCTCTTCTAATAGAGCAGAACATCATATCCCTATGAGACCAGGGCCCACAAAATGGGGGAATGGACAGCAATTTCACTGCACTGGTGGAAAGGTGAGGAGGGTGAACGAGAGAGAAAGTGTGAGGAAGAGCAAATGACAGACAGTTGTATCAACACAAAGACAGACATGCGGCTGTAAGCGAAGCGATGGCGGAGTTACACTTAAGTACACAGCTTTGTCATCTTGTTTGGAATGATACCCTCAGCTATTAATTTACAGGCTGCCTTGATCCAAAGCAAATAACCTCATTATCCACTTCTATTGGATCATTACGATAATCACCACAATCATTAGGATCTGTTTGCTTTAGCAGACATGCTCATCAAGAATAGGGTGTCACAAGTCATTTTAATATAGGGTAGGGGTTACTGTTAAAGGCTGTGTGTCTGTCATGGGAAAAATTCATGTTTACCCCATCACGAAAATCATTTTTGTACAGAAGAGAGAGGCATTTAGGAACATTACCCGACCAGAATCAAAAGGAATGAGAACAAAGAGTTTACGTAGACAGTTTTTGCTGCATAATTAGAAAAGCTGGTGCAACTCTCAGAGCTGCTACAGCTCCAGGCTTTCTCTCTTCTGTTTTTCCCCCACTGAGGGGAATCTGATATCAAGGTGGGAGAGACAAGTATGATAAGTGTGAGTCGACTGTGTGTGTGTGTGTGTGTGTGTGTGTGTGTGTGACTGGGCAGCCTGTGGTCGGAAAGGCAATAGATCCACACCACTGATTGGACTAACACTGCAGCTTTAAAAGTAAATTTTCAACTAAGAGCTTGCCAAAGATGCATTGAGCACATAAAGTACTCAGACAACTACTAACATCTTATTTAGCATTTCAATATATTGGAAGATGAGGTACGTTGTATGAACAAGTGAAAATCATGCAGGGCAATGGGGGGGCAAAGCGGGAAACACAAACACACAATTTTATTTGCTTAGGAAAACACTCATGATTGATTTAAAGATTCGACAGTCATAACTTCTGACGGTCTGTTGCTTCATGCATGTCTTTGCATCTTAAGATGAAGCACCAGCCTTTCCCATGCTATTAGGATTGATGTTTATGCCTCAGATGCTTCAACAACAAATAGTTGGTTCAGTAGCAAAGCTCCCGCTATGAAGGAAATGATTGCCTCCTAGCAACCGACACAGTCGAGCGTGCAAAACTGAATGGCAATCACATCTCACTTACAAATCAGAGAGTGATGCAAACTGCTGCATTAAATATTTGTAATCAAGTAAAATTTCAGTTCAAATAAACTTGCAACATCCACTTAAATTGGAATAAATTGAAAACAACTAAATTCTTTTACTCAGTGCTGTTGGGATTTGCTTTCAGTCAGGTCTGAGACAGGCACTTTATTTCAGAGGAAAGTATCAGTAGACTCAGTGAAGGCTAGCCATGTAGTATTAGAGTTTGATGAGACTGCAGAGAACGACAAAAACGTATGCTTCGCCTGGGGGCCTCTAAGTAATTCTCCCTCTGACTCATCGGTGCTGAAGCTTTGTCACACTCGATACTCTTTTGTACTCTCTTGAGTTAGGCAAGAGGGAGCAATACAAGGAAGTGTAACAATAAATGAGAATGAAATAGAATTCATTAATTACTTCTTCACCTCCATAAAACTAATCACTCGCCAAAGTGAATATAATTATCCTACTTTTCCTTTTGAAACGTAACAGACATACCATGAAATATCATTACCATCACCATCTGCGATCAAGCTTTGCTGAGTGGGAGGTTGTGTTTTTACTGTCAAACTTGCCTTTCTGGATGCTGACGTATGACAGTTGAATTTAATTCAATGATTATTCAAATTATCCAAAGTGATGATTTGGACACACTTGCAGTGTGTGTGTGTGTGTGTGTGTGTCAAAAGCTCCTATTAACGGAACACGTGGAATCAGATTATTCTCATTATGAGAGAGTTAGCTTCAGTCACTGTGCTAAAAGTAACATCAAAGGCAAGGCCTGGCAAA